CGCGGTGCTCCCTTCGTGTCCATGCCCGCTGTCTGAGGCCCCCGGACACCCATCGGACCGGACAGGCAGTAGCAGCCCTGGATGAGGGCGAGCGCCTCATTCCTCTCTAGAAGCTCGTAGTAGGCCTCGGTCAGTGAGGGAAACTTCTGAGGGCTAGGGGACAAATTTTTGTAGAAGGCGCTTTAACTAGCTGTCGTTGGTCTTCCCTAAAATCTGTGGCAGTGCCATGCTTAGAACCGATGCTAGTGTTCTGGTAGCCTAGCTTAGGCGCAGCTTTGTACACCTTACAAAGGGAGAAGGTCTCCTAGGCCTGCCTGTGCCTTGGTCTTAACTTCTTTAACGTTTCAGCTTTTCAGGTGGCTTCATCATGGATGAAATTGTTGCTGAGTATATCCGAAGAACTGTACTAAAAATCCCACGAGATGAAATCAAGACAATGCTACAGAAATGGGGCTTTCTCTCTGAGACACAGCTGCAAACCATAAACTTCCATCAGATAAAAGAGAACATTTCTCAAGATGTTGTTCAGCTTTGTGAGGTAATCCTTTCCTTTGGGAACTGCCTGTCAGTGATACACAGAGTGTGTGTTGAAGCACCATAAAAAAAAAAAAAAGTATTTTCTTTGGTCATAGCACAGTATCAAGCAGCAGTCTGTAGTCTGAAAAATGTAAAGCTCAGCTGGTAATGCTACCAATTTTGTCTGATTGATAGGAGTGCAGGATTGACCCTTACTGAGGATGGATGGATGTGTTTTGAGCTCTAAGTTGCACGAGGTGGATAAAAGCTCAGTGTGTTAAACCTTGAAGTAATGGGTGTAATTCTAAATTGTAAAGTAAAGGCATTGATTGAGATGCCTGCTCACTACATAGTGCTAATTTAAATCCGTTTAGTATGGGTAATGATAGCAACAGTTTATATATTTCAGGCTTTTCAGATTTTTTTTCTGGAAAATTTCCTTGGCAAGAACTATTTCTGTTCTGTGTACTGTAAGCAAAAAAAAATTTTCTTATCTCCTTACATACTCTGACTTTAGTGTACTAGGGGTGTTTATATATAGTATTGTAACCCATATAGATACAAATATTACTGATATCTCTTAAATTCTATAGCTTTTTCAATCATTCCCTTTGAATTTCATACTTGAAGATTAATTACATGGGCTGTAGATCAAACTGTAGGCAAGAAACTGTTAAGTTATTCTTGTAAGAGAGCAAACGCCGTATTTTAAAAGAGCATTTGTTTCTGAAGCATTCTTATCTGTAACAGGTAGTATCAGAGTTTCTTAAAAATCTTTGCATGCTGTAAAGGTTAAATAAGGACAAACCAAGCGTGCTAAAATTCCTGACAGTGAAATACCTAGTCCCTGTTGCCTAGTGTCATGAGTACCCATTAACTTTACTTTCTAATTGCTTGTACATCATACTATAAGGACGAGGTTCTTCTTGCTGCCTTTGCAGAAACACTTAAACCTTGCTGAAATAGCTTTGGTTATTGATTTCTCAAAACCATGTTGTGTGCACATTGGGACCAGGTGTGGCGTCTTTGAGGAGAGTGTACATGCTGTGGCCTTCAATGCAATGTAATTTAAACTACTGATACCGAGATTTTTCACTTACTAAACAGTGTGATAGAGCATTCTGGACCTGCAGTTCACCATGCACTGTTATTCTTCTTTCCAGGAAAATTCTACAAACATAAAGCAAGCAGCTGTCCTAGACATAATTTGTAAGTAAAAAATTAATAAAAAAAAATCTTTATATTTTTTTTCTGACTGACTGGATAATGCCCTTAATTACATAGCAGTTGCCCTAGTGATGTAAGGATGCATTTGGTGTAAACAGATTGCATTTTTGATGATGTATCTTATTGGATCTGACCTCTTCTTAAAAGAAAAAATTCAAAAGAACAAAATCAACAAAAGCATGTTTGTTCCTTCTGAGGTCTAACTAGATGTAGTGCACAGTTACAAGTGTAGAGAGACATGTTTGTCTCCAGCATGCAATGAACCCTAAAATCAGTAATACTGTGTTCCAGTAGGGACTGACGTAGGCAAAATTATTGGCAAATACTCCAGGTGGAACTTTTAACTCCAATATTAATTCACAAAAATGATCCAAGGGCTGGAGCCCCTCTCCTATGAGGACAGGCTGAGAGAGTTGGGCTTGTTCAGCCTGGAGAAGAGAAGGCTGTGGGGAGACCTGATTACAGCCTTTCAATACCTAAAGGGGGCCTATAGGAAAGAGGGGGAAAATCTTTTTAGTAAGGCCAGCTGTGGCAAGACAAGGGGTAATGGTTTCAAACTAAACCAGGGTAGGTTTAGACTAGATATAAGGAAGAAATTCTTTACAATGAGGGTGGTGAAACACTGGAACAGGTTGCCCAGAGAGGTAGTGGAGGCCCCATCCCTGGAAGCATTCAAGGCCAGGTTGGATGGGGCTCTGAGCAACCTGATCTAGTTAGCGGTGTCCCTGCTCACTGCAGGGGGGTTGGACTAGATGACCTCTAGGGGTCCCTTCCAACCCAAAACATTCTAGGATTCCTTGATTCTATATAATAGTTTAAACCTCCAAGTTTCTTTTAACAGCCTACACTTCTTAGTTTGAGTTTAGACTGAGTTTTGGTCATTTTAGGTATAATACTTCATTAAATATTGAACCTCAGAGATATTCTTAGTTGCTTAACTGAATTAAAGATGGTCTTCCCATCTCTTTTAATAAAAAACTATTCTCCTTTTAGCTTTACTACAACTGGTAGCTTAAGAAAGCTGAATAAATTATATTGCATTATGAGAAATAATCTTTTTGAAATAACCTGGTCATAAAAGTAGTGTAAAATTATTTGTCCCTTTAATTACCGTTTGATAATACACTATATTATTGAGCAATTCCTATTTTTCCTAGACAACCACATCTACCCAAACAAAAGAATGTGGAGTGTTTACCAGATGAACAAAAGAGGTAAGATGGCTTTCCTTGCTGTAATCTCAAAGTTCTCAGCATCTTGCTGCAGTGCTGCCTCATATCTTACATTTGAAACACAAATATAGTCTAGTATGGACTTTTTCAGTAGAGATATCTTTAACACTTAACTGTATTCTAGTATGGACTTTTTCAGTAGAGATATCTTGAATATCTTTAGAATACTTTTGATTAACTTCTCAAGCAATTACTAGAAATTAGTAACTACTAATTATTAACCTTTTCTCTCATAGCAATAATGAGGTTCAAATTTAATATACAGCTTTTTGTAGAAGGCTATGCAACGTTAGCTTCTTCTGCTTAACTTTGTTTCAGCAAAACTATAAAAACATCTCTGAACTAGTTCTTTTAAGCACAATTCTAGTTTCTTTTTTTTCTTGTGTAACAGGGGAAGAAACGGAAATTTTTGACTTCACAGATTTCAAAAAAAAATTTAAAAGACGACTTCGCTCAGCCTTGAAAAATGTAAGAATAAATCCATTCTACATTTGTTACGCAGCTCTAGTGTCAATAGATTGTTTTCATAAATTAAGAGGTTTTTTTTTCTTACTGTCTACATCAAAAATTAAATGGGATTATTCATTTGGGAATGGTAGGAACTGCATGTCAAATAGGAGAAATGTATTGCATATCTGTTCTAGCAACTTTACAATTATGCTGGAGTGAAATAAAATATAAGCTTGCTTTAAAATATGATAGGTTTCAAGGAAGGCAGTATGTTTATGCTTTCTGTCAAACTTTTGCCCTATTTGAGTGTACATGTTGCCTAGCTAAGTTGATGTTGCTTTGTCCTGTTACCCAATAACAATATGCAAATAACAAAAATCAGATCAGAGTATAGAGGGAACTTAAAGTAGCCAGTAAGCTGGACAAGGAAGTTGTTATTCTGACTTAGATTAGTAGCAAAATTGTATCCATTTCCTTTTAGTTCTGGTTTTGAAATTATATTTTGTGATGGCTGTGAGAACTTGGCCCTGGTATTTCATTACATTATAATGACTGAAAGATAACTGTCAATAGCAAGAAACAGTTTCTAGACTACAGGCTACAGAGCATGGTAAGAAGAAAATGGAAAGGAGATACTGTCATCTCTTACTAAGCAATTTGCAGAAGTCTTTTCCTGCTTTAGCTCATCAGCTTCATTTAAGCAAGGTAATAGAAAATGCCTCTGGCTAGTAAGCTGTGTCGCTTCTTGACGCACAAAGGATTCCCACTGACAACAACAGAGGGCAACAAATACAAATCAGACTAACGTAATCAGCTGCAGTTCATGTAACTCTATTATAATGAAGTTTTGCAATATTTTCCTTTAAAAAAAAAATCCACAAAAACTTTGAGAAGTGATATTGGTCCAGCAATTTAAACTGTTAATGGCCTAGTTGCACTAAAAGCTTGACTACATATGTCTTAGTCAAAGGGAGGGTTGTTTTGGGGTTTTTTTTAGAGGATGTTTTCCTACTCTTAAGTCACCCAGATTGAGTCAAGGTATAAAGAAGTAACTGAGAAACCAATCTACAAGAACAGGAAAGGGAATCATCTTCAAATTTCTGGTTGAGTATCTTGAGCAGTGATAAATGCTGTGTTCAGGTCTAAAATCACAAGTTGATCAAAAGTTTAGTGCCTCAAAAATTGGACATATTGGAAATACTGCCTCTAGGCCTAGATCTATTTCATCTAAATAGACACCTTTTTGTTGTGGTGTTCTTTTCCCAAAAGACAGACTCAAGGCTTTGTAATCAGCTGTTTTTATTTTCACCCTTCAGAAGAAAATGTACAGGATCAGAGGTCATATTAGAGTTTGAAAGGTGATTTTTTTTTTGGTGTTTTTTTTTTTGTTTCTAAGGTATTGTTTTCTGTGGAAATTTGATTTAAATACAATCCTGGCCACACTAGTGGGATTTGTTTCATATTTGAGCAGTGGTGTACTAAATTATGTTTGGGTTTTGTGAACACAGGGTTAAGAGATAAGAAAATCTTTCCATATGCCCAATTGTGCTGGGAAGTCAAAGCTTTTCTTTTTCTGTTAGGTCACCATCAACTTTAGAGAATATGAGGATAATGCAATCTGGATTAGAGTTGCCTGGGGAACACTGTATACAAAACCAAACCAGTACAAAGCCAGCTATGTCGTATACCATTCACAGACTCCCTACGTCTTCATTTCTGCCTCGACGCTTAGGAGCAACTTGCCTCTGCTGTGTCAGGTACAGAATAAAACTGGGTAGACCCTGACTTCACCACAGTCATGTAGAGCTGTAATTGTGTTAGCTTTTAAGAGGATGGGTGAAGATTCATCACTTAAGGTAATTTACTAATTCACATAGTCAGTTTTTTCCCTTGGCTCATGATAAAAATGGGGCAAAACCAAACTGTGACCCTTGGAATGGTGCATTGTGAATCAATTCAGTTTATTGGAATTTTTCTGACCTTGAATTGTTCTAATTTCTTAACCAAGTGTTAGGTAGTATTCAGTTAAATTGTCTCATAGAAGTTAAAGAATATTATGTCAAAGCAGTCAACTTCAAGATCTAAATGTATGAACTCATCAGGGAATGCTATTAATTAGTCTTAAAAGAAATTTTCTGTCAACTTATGGTAATCAGCATTAGTAGTCTTCCATTTTTTTTCTGTTTAGCTGACTTCTGTACTACTAATTTTATTATTTTATTAATCTGTTTATTTTTCAGCTGATAAGATTTATCTGGTTAATCCTGTGAATGCTTTTAAATATTAACCTAAGCTTAACAACAGCCTATTCAACATTTTTTCAGACATGAGAATCTTGCTAGTTAAATGGCTGTTGCTTACCTTGAAACAAAACCATTGCAATGTCTAGAAATATGGGGGGTTTTCCATATTATAAACACAGTGATGATTAAGACTGATGTTAAAATTTCAATTTTTATTTAAAGGCCCTGGTTGTTGCTTCCAATTACCATGACATCCGTGAAATGGAGCTTCGAAGTCATTCTTTAAACTCCCTTAAAGATATTGTGTTTAAGAGATATAGCCAGGTGAGACACTTCACAAGTACATCCTAAGATAAGTCTTGCTTTTTGTTTCAGGCCTAGTTCTCACCCCCTAGCAGGGGGGAAAAGTCACCTCTTCCAAGAGACCATCAAGTTAAAATAATATTGAGCTACTGAGGTGGACAGCCTTTCATTAAGGTAACATTACAGTGGAGTGTAATTATGTGGTATCCCACCTACTCTTTATTATTGTTAGTCCTGATGGTTAAACTCGGTCTAAAAACTGTGTGAACAATTTGGTCCTAGGATTTTTTAGCATCATTTTGCTAGGCTTCCTAGAGCAATGACTTGAAGGCTATTAGAATGGGCACTTACTCTGCTCGTCCATGTAAAACTTGTAAATAGGGAAATGCTCACAAATATCATGACAGGCATTCTTTTCTCAAAATAAAGCTGGGCTTTCTGATTTCTAGTAATTGTCTGAAGTTGGAAGAATTTTCACTTTCAGAATGAGAAGTAAAAAGCAATCTGGAAATTTCTTTTCAGCTACAGCCTCTAAAAGTGGAAAAGAACTAAAATATTTTTTTTCCCTTTCTCTCTCCATTTAGAACTTCCAAACTTATTGTCCGAGACCTCTACAGGAAAGGAATGTAGCACCAGAAAGTGGTATGTGCATTTTAAATTAAACAGCAGTTTGAATGTCATTACTGCTGGCTTCCGAAATGAGATCCATAATACGAAACGTACATGTGTTACACTCGCATTATGTTATCCATCCCTGGTGAGGGCCATAATACTGGCTGTTGCTGGGAGAGGGAAGTGTTTCCCCGTGACTGTCATTGGATGCAGTTATGAAACCAAAACCACCCCACTGCCCAGTACCTCCTTTCATATTAGCTTGGGTTTTTCTCCTGGTAAGAATCGAAAACATAAATGATGGAGGCAACTAGCTTATGAAAAAAAGATCGTGATGAATTCCTTAAAATTCCTTATTATTTTCAGATTTTCACTGAAGTAATCACCTGATCAGAAAAACAGTATTGTATCTGCTGACAAAGTTGTTTTTTCTCTTCCCTTCCCTACTCTTTTTTTTCCCCTGCAGCAGATTTAAGGATAATTCATGAAAACAAAAGTGAGAAAGAAAGAATACTGAGAGTGAATCGGGAAGTTTTTGGTGATGGTCCCCAACCAAAACTTGAATTTGCACAATATAAGGTAGTAAAAGCAATAAATTTTTGCTTTGTTCTGTTTTTTAATAATTTTAATGTAATGGTAGCTAGCTTGAATTGCAAATTGAAGAAATATTAGATTTTTTTCAAACCTTTAGGGAGGGCATTACAAAATAAATTAGTTAAAAGTATCTTTAAGAAACAGATTTGCATTGAGATTTGGTCAGACTACTAGATCATGTTTCAGTCTTTCAGCCTTGTGAACTATGCATTTTGACCCTTTCTTTTTATAATAAAGGTAGATTTACACCAGTAATGTGTTGAAGCATAAGAAATTAGGGTTACGTGAAGTACATGCAAAGCTCATGCTACATATAACACCATTATTTAACTTCTTGGATGATGCATGGCTTTTTTCTGATGAACAGATACATTGGAAATTCTAAGAGATACTTAACGTTTTACAAGATTACTGAACAAGCGGCCTCTTTCAGCCGAAAACTGTTTACCACATGGTGGCACCCTCTGATTTTATTGAAATATTCCTCCAGCTTGATTTATGTTACCATTACAAATAACAGACAAATAAGATGCAGTCTTATTACACATTATATTTGCAAAGCAATGTTTAAAAAGTAACGTATAAATAAAATACATTTATTGCTTATACTCCCTGGTTAAATTTTGTGTTAACAGCTTGAGACGATGTTTAAAAGTGATCCTAAAATAGATGTTTTGGATAAAAGAGAGCCATTCAGATGTCTGGTCAAGTTTTCTAGTCCACATCTTTTAGAGTCGCTGAAATCCTTGGCACCAGCAGGTAAGTGTTCCAACTCTATACAATAGAGGAAAAATCCCCAGTTAAATATTCTTGTCATCCTGCATTCTGCTTGTATCTTGCATAAGGGGGAACCTTCCTAGTTTGTTGAAATACATAGAAATTTAGTAGAATAAAGATGTTACCACTATAAACCTTATGTCTAAGTACATACCAGTTTGTAGAATTACTAGTTTGTACATAGATACTAGAGCGTGGTTTCAGTTTTATAACGGTTATGAAAGGTAAATGTTGGCTGAGTTAAAAGAGAATTATCTGTTTCTCTCTCCAGGCTTGGCTGATGCACCGCTTTCGCCACTACTTACGTGTATACCACAAAAAGCTAGGAATTATTTTAAAATTAGAGAGAAAAAAGGTGTATTTCCAGGAAGCTTTGTAAGCCCTTAACTTAAAACTGATTCATAGAGAAATACACAACTCCTTTATTACTGGTATTAATCTAAATCACCATAAACTTTAAAATGTATTTTAAAAAATAACTTATTCGTTGATAATACCTTAAAGTTTTTTCCAAATTATGGCTTCTTCCACATTTCTCTTTAGCAGAAAAGTTAGCCTTTTCCATAAATAATAAAAAACTGTTAGCTGCAAAGTTTAAAAAGAGATCGTGGTTATTGTAAATTTACATGTGATGACTGCTCTTAACTGTATTTTTAATGGTATTTATGAAATTAAAGCTAGCTAAAGCTTAATAAAGATACAATATGACAGCTGTAGCTGTTCAGTTCACTGTCATAGCTGTAGGTGGCTGCCTCACTTCGGCTCCAGTGCAGCAGTGTAACAGAATTCCTGCCCCACTTTGAACATATAGATTGTCCCATTCGATGAAGGGGAGTACCTGTCTGCAGGGCAGGCATGTTTTTATCTTAGTAGATGAAGATGATATTCAAAGACCGTTACAGGGCATGGAGAAGAGACTCTTGGAATATAGGTGTCAGTATGAAGTTTCCGTCCAGCTTTAATGGATAAGAATTCAGATCCAGAGTTTTTGCTCAAAGGCAACAGCCAATAGTAAATACTTAATTTAAAAACAAAAAATTGTCTATTGGTATTAATGTCTTCACAAAATTTTATCTTGGAGGAATACAATGAAGCGGGCAATAATTTTCTTTAGAGGAAGTCCCTGTTTTAGAGTATTTCAATTAAGAGTGGATCCTTCTGTAGTCCTTGCATGTTACCACTTTGCTGTGCTTGGGGATGTAAAGATTGCAGAATCAGGGTGGCCCTGTTCACTAATGCAAACTACGGCTTTGCATTGGAGTTCTTCAGAGTTGGTAAATTGTAATTGGTAATTATATAGGTTTATGTGACTGGCTGCATAGTCTTTAATTTGAGATGGATTTAATCTCAAGATTCAGTTATAGAGTACAAGTGTTTCTTTTTTAATTCTGTTACCTGGAAACTTTGTGCACGTACTTTGTGTATACAGGATTTCCGATTCGCTGTTGGGTGTGCAGAGGCGGTCTTTGTAACTTCATGGAACTCTGTAAATACTTTGAGAGGTGGTATGGGAATGTGTGTTGGTTTTCAAAACTGTAAATAAATGTGTAAATTAAGTCTTCTCATAGAAGTTTGTCTGGCCTGACTCAGAAACATGACTTAACACATACTGATTTGGGGGGGGTTGTTTTTTGCATTCTCTGTATAACTCGCACATAAAAAGAAGTTAGTTTAGGACTATCTGTGTTTTTAGGATTTCCACCTGTGTGATTGAAATGTTAGTCTGACAAAATACTTCACATAATATTAGGATCCTGAAACAATTCTGGGGTTTGTGCGATACACAAAATGTGTGATAGACATTAAGAGTTGGCTCTTGATGCCTCCCACTCCTACCCTCGTAGAGCCTTCTAGGAGTCAGACCCATTAAGATTTTAGTATGCACTTCACTCTCTGCAACTTTTTCTTCCTAATGCTCTCTCCTAAGTAACTTAAATGCCTGAAATGATAATGGTTTACCATAGAGTTCCAAAACGCTCTAAAACAGTGTGAGTACCTGGCCTACTGCCCGTTTCTGCCTCTTGCTTCTGGGAAAGGTGGTCTCCATTCCCTCTGTAACACCCGAGAAGTTGATCTCTCTGCTTTTCAGATATACCTTTCATCTCTAACTTCCTGTAACCAAGGCTCTTACAGGAATGATGCCGCCCTTCCAGGCAAGCAGCTGGGTATTTATTCATCCCACAGCTGCGAGGATGGGGGCCGCAGAATGAACACAAGGCCCGGGGAGCTACACCCATCACCCAGCTCTGCCCCGGTTAAGGGTGGGCTCTGTATCCCGAATGTACAGTTGCCCCTTTACTTGGCCAAGCTTAGGGGAAGAACCGCCATCTCTTAGCACTGGATCTTTAAAACGCAAGCCCACATCGGTAAATAAACGCAAAATCTCCCAGCTGGGGTGGTACCGGGGTGGTGGCAGGCACAAGCGCTTTGTCACAGGCTCAAGCTCCGTGGGCTTGTTCAGCCTGAAAAAGAGAAGACTGAGAGGGGACCTCATCACCACCCACAAGTATCTTAGGGGTGGATGGCATGAGGACGGAACCAAACTCATTGCAGCAGTGCCCAGCGCCAGGACAAGGGGCAATGGGCGCAAACTGAAACATAAGAGGTTCCAGTTGAATGTGAGGAAAAACTTTACTCTGAGGGTGCCCGAGCCCTGGCCCAGGCTGCCCAGGGGGGCTGTGGAGTCTCCTTCTCTGGAGATATTCAACCCCCGCCTGGACGCCGTCCTGTGCCCCCTGCTCTGGGTGAGCCTGCTTGGGCGGGGGGGTGGCACTGGGTGAGCTCCGGAGGGCCCTGCCAACCCCTGCCATGCTGGGATTCTGTGAAAGCAATTACTCACCACCAATCAATCGATGCCCAGCCCGTCCCCGAGCAGCAGTCCCCCTGCCAACCTCTTCCCCAGTTTTATTGCTGCGCATGACGTCATATGGTCTGGACTGTCCCTTTGGTCAGTCGGGGTCAGGTGTCCCGACTGTGTCCCCTCCCACTCCTTGTGCACCCCCAGCCTCCTTGCTGGTGAGGAGCAGAAAAGGCCTTGATGCTGTGTAAGCACTGCTGACATCCCCGTGTTACCAACGCTGTTCCCAGCACAAATCCAAAACACAGCCCCGTACCAGCTATTACAGAGAAAATTAACTCTATCGCAGCCAAAACCAGCACAGCGCCCCAGTACAGGAGAGGATTTTGATACCAGGACAAATAACAACTCGCCAGCTTGGCAGAGGATGGGTGCCTTTTTGTGACCTGAGGAGGGGCAGGCTGGGATAAAGCTTCTCTCCTCCTCCCCTCCTGGTGTCATGGTCTAGGGGGGCAGCGGGGGCTTTGTTGCAAGGACACCCTGGGTCTGCATGTGCTGTCCTGCAGGCAGTGGCCGAGGCCAGGAATGACACTCTCTGCTCAGCACACTCAGGGTGGTCCCCATGGAAAGACACCATGGGACTGGGCTTTTTGTTTAGGTTTATTTAAAAAAAACATAATTCCGATACAGCTGTTTTGAAGAGGAGAATTTAATCTCTCAAAGGCTCAGCAGGGCCAGCAGCACAGCGACCACAGGCTCCATGCTGATGGTGGGTGGTATTCCAAGGGGGAATAACGAAGCGTTTCTCGTTGTCTCTTGTTTAAATCTCCCCCACGTGAAGAGCCTGTATAAAAGTGTATAAATACACGAGTGTGTGCCTGTGCACGGTCCGACCAGTTGTATTGAGAATTCCACTGGAATTACTTCTAGAAAACAACCAATTTTGTACCAGTGTTAAACGTAACTGAGGCAGCTAAAAGTCCTTTGGGACCCAGTTTCTGTTATTTCATTTGCTTATTGCTTCTCTCTCTCTCTCCAGTAGGACATTGTAGCCCCGCTGGTGAGGTGCTATGCAAACATACTGGCTGGCCTAGCCGTAGCAGTTGGCGAGCCATCGTAATCCAAACGCTGAGTGCTGTTATGCTGGGGGTTTTGTTTGTTTTTTAAAAATGTCTGTGAGCCAAAAAAACCCTAGATGGATGCCATTTTAGAAACAAGCCCTCATTACCATAGTATTCCTGCGAAAACGAAGCATGTACTGGCGGGGGGGGGCGGGGGGAGGAGAGCCACAGTTCAGCGAGCGTGTATTTGAGCGTGGGCCTTTCAGAAAGATAGCCTTACTTTTCTCAAAATCATACAGCCAAGTGTGTGAGGACAAATCCTATTCCTGGAAAACTTCAAGCACAGCATTCATAGCTGCATGCTGGAAATGCAGCCCCAGTGGGCAAGCAGTGAACCTACTTGTTTTGTGAAATGGCTAATTACAGAATCAAGCGTGTTGCAGATGATCGTTTGCGATGAGCAAAAGGAATTAGGCTCAAGCATACGTGCAGTCTCCTATCTCATTGCTTAATTTCATTTCCTAATAGGCGCTAGCAACTTCTGTAGGTAACTATATTTCGTACGTAGGTATGAGTGGAGGGGTACAACAGAAGTTGAAAATGTTCATTCGGGCTCAGCAGGCGGTGGTTTTGGTTGTGAGCTTGTACTCTGAGCGTCTGCAGCAGCCAGCGAGGACTGCAGCTAGGGGGTTAAATAATTCGTGTTCGGGGTATGATGGGGGAGGAAATAAATGCTGCTTGCTCACCGGTTGCCTAGATAGCTGTTAACTATTGGAGCCTCGTAGAATTATAACACGTTTCATACACCTCATTACCAAATCTTGTGATAGTTTGGATAAATACTGAAACATGGATGGGTGCGGATTTTCAGGAATCTCTGACTTATTCCGAGGGCATTGGAGTTGAGAGTAAAATGCTATTGAGGCTTAAGGGAGGCTAATTTTTCTGTGCTATGTTTTAGATAAAACATCCCCAGTATTATGCACGGCTTGGGAATGCATCTTGAATGAAAGGATAAAGACATGAAGCTAAAAAGATATAAATCTAGGTGGGTGTTACTCTGATTCTCCAGAAGGAGATGAACTTGGACTAATATTTGAGTATTGGTATTTCCTTTTAAGAGATAACTGATTCCCCTGACAAAAAGAATTTAGTAGATTGCATTTGTTAGTGAAATATGAGGAATTAGTGATGAGGCAGCTTCGCAAATGAGATGGAAAGAAGCTATTGGGGAAGGAGAGAACCTAGTAGTGCTGAAGAGAAAGGAGGTTGACTTGGTTAATTTTCATTAATAAAACTAGCACCGGTAGGGTCTTTTGATACCTGAGGTATTGTCGCTGCAGAGGAAGGACGTTTACATAGGAAAGCAAGATTACCCTGTAAAAACAGAGTCAAGTGCAGTCATACAAGGTTATAGTCTTGTGAAGCGATAATTTGATCAGTCCTGGTTTGTAACAAATAACTGAGATGGGAAACACTTGCAAAAGCTACTTGGTCATACACATATGGGCATTTAGGGTAACGCTGCTGTGAAAAGGGCAGTCCTAAAATATGTCAGAAGTATATCTGCCCCTACTGTAGGGTAAGAATCTGATTCAAATAAGCTAAAATGAACCCAGAAGAGGTGTAGAAAAGGGCTAGTAAGGGTGATGAATGGCAAGTGTGTCTGACAGAGGGAAATTAGAAGAATTTGGCTTGTTTGGCCTAACAAAAGAAGATATGACAAAGTGCTGATTTATAAATGTTTGTTTTCTGGCTCCTTAGCTTAACTAAGACAATAAAGAATGAGAACAGTGGGTATAAACTGGCACTTAATATATTAGGCTTGCCTTTTTTTTTTTTTTTTAATTCTTTGGTCTTTTGTCTGTGTTATTTTATGGGGCAAAAGGGAAGACTTCTGTGTAGTTTAAAAACGAAGCAGGAGTTCACGTAAAGGGGAGGATTCTGTGGATTCCTATGATAGCAGAGCAGCTGTAGTCAGCGGTGGACTGGAAAGGGTAGCTTACCCTTTGGGGTAGGTTACCCAAATGCAAATATTACACCACCACAGTAGTTTTCATAATAAGAATAAATGCACTTTTCTCCATACTGTTTAACAAAGAATTGCACGATCCAATGCTGCAAAAAAAAAAAAAAAATGTTTTAAATTAATCTATTGGAGTAAGCCTTTCAGTTGCAGGAAAGCAAGACGTCACTAAGTTCACCTTGCCTAAATCAGTAGCAGGGATCGTTACCTTTCAGTTTCCCGTGTTGTTGCCACGAGCCCTGTCCGAATGTCAGTGTTCCTTACAATGCAAGTGTCTGCATTGTGAGAAGTTAATTGAACAAATATATGCCAATAATTGTGGTGGGAATTCAGATCAGACGTACAAGGAAAGGAGAACGTCTGAAATATGACTGGCCAGATGGGTTTTTGAGGAGATATAAGATTAACCATTTGGAGCCAGGAGGACTTTGAAGATGGTCAAAAGAAGATTACTGCCTGGATAGGTGTGTAGAGACCTCTCAACTTATCACAGCAAATTTGTTGTCATCCGTGCCTTGAAAGTCTGTGTTCCAGCTGTTAAAAAAGCGGCTTACTTATGTTCATGTAGCTTTCAAACACTTAGTGTTATTCTGTACCTTAGTACTTAAGTAGTTTTAAATAACCTGACTGTGGTTTACCTGTTGAGCACCTGAACATATTTCCCATATTGCCTTGTCATATGTTGGGTTGTGACGTTAAATAGCACACACTTTGGATGGCTTCTTACTTAGGAATACGTAACTCCAGTTGCCGCTTACCAAGCACGTTGATTTTGTCTGCAGTGGGAGAGATCAAACATGGTTTTCTCCTGAAGACTTTGAGACTGGCATCTGGTCAAAGTGTTTCTGGGTAAACGCAGGGTTAAAAAGTGTAATTGGGGGTAGTGGGGCTGGAACAACAAGATTTCTTTGAGGCGAGTTCCTGTTTTGGGCAGTGGCTCTGGGAGGTGCAAAAATAATCACAGTAATTATTCAGCAGAGAGAAAACAGGCCTGTTTATGGATGGTTTGTCCATGGGGAAAACTGCTGTACATCAAGGTGCTGAGCAGGTTAAAACGTTAGATGAAAACTTGCTTTTTAGAGAATTATTCCAGGTTTTCTTGATGAAATGGCAACTGATCATTTTCACCAAGAAGCCCTAAACTTTGCTTCTTTGACTATGATACGTCATTAACAAAAATGAACTTGGGGCAATGTCAGCAAGTAGCAGGGTTGAATGTGTGGAAACGTAACTGAAATATTGCTTGAAGGGATTACATTTTACACAGAGTATCTTAGGCGGAGAGATGAGGTGAGGAAAAAAGCAAAATCACTGGAGTGTCCCACGCATCTGCTTCATGGTATTCCTGAAGGGGAAATGAAATTAATACTTCAAGGCAGGAGTAGCTCAGAACACAGAGTGGTTGGGTTGTAACTGTAGCTAGGTAAGAAGTGGGGGTGTGAGCAGTGAACCCCGTGGTGTTCTGGCAGCTGCGGCACATACTTTCCCTTTGCTTCACGTGGGATGACTGTTGCACTTTGTGGATTCTTCATGTTTGGTCTGACCTGTGTGAACATGCAGCTACCCGAAGAAGGTAGTTGGGGACCAACTGGTGTAAAATCAATGTTCTGCCATTTACTGTGCTTACTGTCACTGTCATCATGCTAAGGAAAATCAGGTGCAGAGCTCAAACAGGGCCCGCTCCGGTAATTCTTCCCTGAATAATCATCTTGGGGATGCCATCGTGGACTATCTGTAACTGGCACTGGGGACTCGGTTGGCCTCCTACTCAGTCTCAGGATGTAAGGAGACTCACAACTACTCTGCACATCAGATTTTTAATAATTCGCTTTTAATTTTTTGCTTTGACACAGATGCCTGACGTTTCCACTGAGACCCTTTCAGATAGGATATGTCTAGAGGGACACGTCTTGTCTGGTTTCCATAGCTGCATCCTCAATAGGAATAGGTTCTATGTGGTTGAACAATCTGGACAATCCCACTAGTGTGTCCTTTTTATATGTATTTTCAAGGTCCTCTTTTGCTTTCTTCTATAGTGTACATGTGATGGTCACTGAGGCAGATCACATGGGAAGCATGGGTATACCAGTCACTTAATGTTGGGAGGTTCAGAATTAGCGTGCCAGTTGTTAGTTTTGTAGACTTAAGTGAGGTTTGGTTTATGATCTGAATTAAGTGGCAGAGTGTACTTGGCATTTTTCATTTTATTACAAGTAAGCTCTAAATAGTGCCAACAGAATTCCAACGTCAGGGATGTGTTGTGTTACACAGCGTGTAACTGATTTTAATGGAGCTTCAAGTAGACTGTGCTACGAACAAGTAAAACCACGCTGAATTGGCAACGTAGTGTAGTATCTGTAGGGAAAAAGAAAGTTTTTTGACTCAAATAACAGGAAAGGCAGTTATAATTGCCTTGGGGCAGCGAGTACCTTGGTAAAAGTAATTAGTACAGTACCACTACTCTTTAGAGCTTGTTGTAATTTCACGTGGTGATTTGGACAGTATATTTGCGAAGTAGCATCCACATCGGTGAAAAACTCCCATTTGAACTTAAATAATCACTTAGGAAAGTGCCTTCAACTCATTGAGGTGTGTCAACTCAGCGAGCCAAAGTTGCTGTGCATTCTGAATATTGTCTTTAATATGCAAACCCGCAGAATTGTCAACTTCTCAATTGGTTCTTTTTCAGGATGGAAAACTTAATACACCAATAAGGAAGGGTTTGAAAACTTCACAAAAATTCTACTGCTGTCCTATTGAAGGCTGCCCTAGAGGACCAAACAGGCCATTTTCCCAATTTTCTCTTGTAAAACAGGTATTCCTATTTCCTAGCGTATTATTTTCATACTGATGTAGTCCTGACTGTCTCTACTCCAGAGGGTGTACGCTTTTGCATTCAGATATGAGCAAAACCTCTCAGCATATATCCAGAAGTTGGAGAATTGTATGCAGAACATACACATGGGCATATGGTTAATGAATTTGCATGTTTGCATGTTGGTATTGGAGGACTTGAACCTTTTGATCAGGCAGATGCTAGTCTGTTCTGCTAAACTAGAAGACAGCTCCTCTCCATAAATTAAAAATCTATAGATTTATTAATGCCTTTAGGAAACCTCCAATAGCAGTAGAACATGTAGATGTTTGTGTTTCAAGAGGCACATAGCACAAGCAGATTTGCAAACTTTAAATTCTTTCTGTTGATTTCTTTAAGCTTGTAACTTATTCCTAGTGAGACTCCTAAGAAATTTTTAATTCTACCCTTCAATGCTATTGAACAACTAAAAAAATGCAAATATTAATGTCTCCCCTAAACGTGATATTCTTTTCGTTACCTTAGCTGAAGGCTAATCTTTACTTTTCATTGTGTATTCTAGCACTTTATGAAAATGCATGCTGAAAAGAAGCACAAATGCGATAAATGTAGTAACTCCTATGGTACAGAATGGTATTTGAAACGGCATATAGAGGTCTGTGGCAAGACTTTCCAGTGTACTTGTGGGTGCCCTTACGCCAGCAGAACAGCATTACTGTCTCATATTTACAGAACTGGCCATGAAATTCCCGCAGAACACAGGTAAAAGTGAAGCAGTTAAGTAATGATATTTACATTCATCCGTCACTAAGTCCTCTGTCTCACATGTACTGGCTTTTTGTCTCCATTCTGCTGCTTAAATCGGAAAAAGGCTCATGTTGTTTTAGCTGTAAAGCGTTTGCAGTTCCTTTGTTCTGTTGCTTTTGGTAGTTTCTGTTTTGTTGAAGGCAATGATGATTGTCTAATCAATAAGATCAGGTTTCTCCACGTGTAAAACAAAAAGTACTGATGACTCTGCACTGCGTGGCATAAATACTAGTGGTTCTTGTGGAATCTGCTTTTACAGTTTAGTGAGAGGAGCGATGAGTTGGAAATGTTTATAACTGGTAACTGGTGTGGAATACAGTTTATTTTCGTTTATAGTCTAGTCGTCTTTGCAAGCATTAGTGGATTCTTTTTTTTTTAAATGCCTATATATGCATGTTTCGTTTTATAGTTGTCTTAATGTGTACATATATTTCATAAAGGGTAATCTATTTCCTGTGGCCTAGCCCATCTGTCTTGGAGATTCAACTGCTGTAAAATTAAGTAAGTTTCGTGTGAAGAAGTGCTAACTGTATCCTCGGTTTCCACGAGACACCTTTACCTGTACAGTAATTTTAAGAGCGCTGTCCTGTCAATGCTCAGTCTGAGTTAGCATCAAAGTAACGAATTAAACACGTCTTCAAATCAAGAGTGCTTAATGTACAAGGGGGAAAAACCATCTAAACTTCCACCTCCATTTAGAAATAGGTCTCTGCAAAAGAGGTAATTTTTTTCTATTTTAAATGGGAGAGTGAGGAATTAAATTTTACAAAACTGAAGTTCATGGAGTCTTTTTGTGTTTTAATCAGGGTTAGTTGTCCTCATATCTAACCTCATCTGTGACTCCAGTTTATATTTTCAATGCAAGGGCTTAAAAGAATGGAAGGCAGATGTTTTGTGCTTGAAAGGAGTGTAAAATATTGATCTCCTGTTCACAGGGATCCTCCTAGTAAGAAAAGGAAAATGGAAACATCTGCACATAATCAGCAGTTGGCAGAGAAGGCGAATGAAGCATTCATCAAGACACACAGTAATAATGCTGGCACTCAGGAACTGGAGTCCTCTGAAGTGAAACTGGTGGCCTCTCTTGAAGGCTCCTGCAGTTCTAACTTCGCAAACCAAATGCAGCCAAAATGTACACCGAAGATGCTTTTACCAAAGCCCAAGGTGGCTTTGGTTAAACTTCCAGTGATGCAGCTTGCTCACCTGCCTATATACGTATCTGCAACAGACTCTTCTGTCAAACCTGCTGTAGTGGCTGTTGATAGTCAAGGTTCAGTTTTAAGTACTGTTCATTTATTGCCTCAATCTATAGGAATTCTGATTCCAGCACTGGAGGCGGAAACAGTTGTATTTAAAGATAGTATGCCTGTTTCCAAAGTGACAAATTCTGGTGACCGTGAACCAGTAAGTACTGGTGTACAAGTCGAGTGGGATAAGGTTACATCGAATAACACAGGGCAAGAGCTGGGGAATGTTTCTCACAAGAACAAAATTTCTTCAATAAATATACAGACTGACTTATCTTACATTTCACAGAACTTTGTACCAGCTGCAGCCTGGACTCCCAGTTCTTCTGTATCCTCTTGCTCTCAGACAGATCTGTCATTCAGTTCACAGGTTTCGTTACCCATCAGTGTACAAACACAGACGCTGCTGCCTGCTTCCAAACTGACTTCGTCCATAGCTGCTCAGACTGATGCTTTTAGTCAGGTTTGCTTTCCAACGTGTGGCATTTCTAGAGAGACTCAAACCAGTAGGACACAGGACTCTCTTGATGGAAGAGTGCAAATGGACCAGGCTGTTACGTGCAGTGACATCTTTGACAATGTTCACTCATCTTACAATGTTTCTACTCACATTGAACTTCCAGAAAACAATTTAATGCCCACGAACATAGATCAAACCTTGCTGCAAAGGAGTAATTGCAAGAGCCTGAATCAAGATACGGCAAAGTCTGAATCCCTTATCAGCTTCAATACACAGACTAATATACTTCCACCTCAAAATACAATGGATAATCAAACCCAGACAATGGACCTACTAAGCGATCTGGAAAATATCTTTTCAGGAAACATGTCTGGCCAGACACTGGATAATCGTGGCCTTTTGTCTGAGACGAGTTCTAATGCTGACACGCATCTGCCATCTGGTCCATCACAGAGCACAGGAATAGACTTTGACATTGAAGAGTTCTTTTCAGCATCCAATATCCAAACTCAGACTGAAGAGAGTGAGCTTGGAACCCTGAACTCTGAGCCAGTTTTGGAGTCACTGGACATTGAAACTCAGACTGATTTCTTATTTTCAGATAGTGCCACTCAATCATATAGCTGCCGAGGAAATTCTAACTTCTTAGGTTTGGAGATGTTTGACACACAGACACAGACAGACTTGAATTTCTTTTTGGACAGTAATACCCATCTGCCTTTAGGAAGTATTCTGAAGCAGTCAAGCTTCTCCATGAGTACTGACTCATCTGATACAGAAACCCAGACGGAAGTATATCCGGCCACTAAAAACATACCTACTCAGAATATTGAAAGCAAAGTCCAGCTCAGTAGCGCTGAAACACAGACTATGGACAGCTGCTTTGAGAATCTCGGGAGTTTATTCCTCACCAGCAATGAGACACAGACAGCAATGGATGACTTTCTTCTGGCTGACTTAGCCTGGAATACAATGGAGTCCCAGTTCAGTTCAGTAGAAACACAGACCTGTGAAGAGCTGTGCTCCTTGTTTCAGAGCTCTGACAAGCCCAGCCATTGAGTACTATGTAGTGAACTGTTTCCTGTGGTTTGAAATTAAGTTATTGGGGTGGGAGAGATGGCTGGACCAAGTTATCCACTTTGCATTACTGAATGTAGTTATCGTGAGCAGGTGGCCTAAGAGACTTTTCATGCTGAAGGTACTCTATTGAATATGTAACTTTAAGCTATGTGTGTATAAATGGGAGGAAGGGGGGAGCTGTAACATGTTAATGTACATTTGAACCTTAAAAAAAAAAACTTATGTGGTGCCTATGTTTGTTCCTCAGACTTCTTTCCAAAGCTGATACTGCTTTCATTTAAATGGAAGAACTTTTAAAGTTGTTCCATCTATCTATCTATTTATTCCTGGCTTACATATAGGTTCCAATGTGCTGGACCAAACCCCTGACCTGTCCAATTCAGATGCTTCCCTGAACTTACGGGGGAGGATTCTGTTAGTGTAAGCTACTTCTGTTTACTTTTTTTAGTAGCTTGTATTTTAAATCCGGTATGAACATAATAAGCCGTATTGTCTTCTACTTTATGCCTTCACAGCTCTTTCTCCTGCCTAAGTTGGTATTTTCCAAATACCTGTCCAACACACTAGACACACATAGACTCTTGAATTGTTGAATATATTTATTATTAAAAATACATAGAAGGCAGTACTACTTTATTTTTTTCCCAAGTGGCACTGATGACCTTTGAAGAGTCGGAAAGGAACTTGGAGTACATAATTATAGGGAAAATTAGTATGTTGTCCTTTTAGCTAGTGTAATAAATGCGACTAACATTTTTAGACTTTAAGGAGGGATTTGCTTAAATTATTTCTGTCTGTAGGATGCTAATGTTAAAATGTGTGTGCCTCAAAGACTGGAATAATTTGGTTTTGCTGAAATTCTCCTACCTTTATTAAGAAGTAAGTTGAAAAATGTTACAGTGGTTTATACCTTGTTACCTTAACAGAAATCCTTAGAAATGGGAAACTAAATTCTCTAAAATACTCACCTAGACTCCTGGTTTTAGGTTTCCTGCTTCCAAAAACAGTTGGAATCTGTACGACAGAGCTGGGAGATCAGCTCACAGAAGCCCGTTCAGAACAGCTGTATTGTGCTTTTGCATATTGATCTGCAGCCTCAGTTCCAGTTTTTCTGAGTATAATCAAATTCAAACAAACTGATTTTCAGAGAAGAAACATGTGACATCTTGGAATTTGTTTTAATGTTCATCTTGCCCCCCATACCACTGTTTGCAGTAATTTTCATTTGCATGAAAAAAAAAAAAGCCAGCTGTGAATGTATGTTGGAATTTGGCCTTAACTGCTTTTTATCTATTACTGTAATACCTGCAAACTGTAGGCCTCTGGTTTTGTCCTGGACAGGTTTTAGTTTCTGTTACTTAAAAGGAAAAGAGAAACCTCTTCGTGTCAAACTCCTGGGCCTGTAAACAGACTTTACTCCTCCATTGTGAGAGGAGAGGTACTGGCTGCGTATTTGCTAGGCAGCCCATCAGTAAATGTATGTCCAAGCCTTAGTTTCTGAAGACTCGCTCTGCTTTGTGCTTCACATCCTCAGCTCAAGGATGTGGGAGTTAAGTTACTCATCCATTGCAGCTAGCTTGTTTTGATGAAAATGAGCAATACCTCACACTCTAGCATAGTAAGCATCTCTACTTTTAATGGAAATAATCTCTTTAGATTAACCCTGAAATTCATGTTTTCCTTCTGAAAAACTCCTGAAACCACAGCTCTGTTGCCTGTTTAATTTTTCAACATTTCTAGGTGCAAGTTCAGACACTTCCAGTCTTTGGCTGACAAAACTGCACAAAGGAATCTTGCAGTTCCCTGCAGGAGTACATGAATTCTCCTCTGGGGAAAGCCCCCCCCAGGTTTCACAATGCCTAGAGTTTTGCTCTTAAAGGTGGGATATATTAAAAAAAAAAAAGAAGGCATTGCTTGTAATTGTTACTTCTGAGGATATGACCGATTCATATTTACCGGTCTACTTTGAAATTGGGAAATAAGATAAATGACAAATTTAGGTTAATTTATTCTATTGCGGTATTTTTCTAGTAATGTTGCATCTTCAGGTTTTAAAGTGTTTTTCCTTCTCCTTTCTTCCCTCTGGCTGGAATGCCAGAGGACATTTCTTCATACATAGGCTTCTGTGTTTCCCACATGCAAGTTGTCTGTACTGACGCGTGAAAGAGAAGGCATTACTATAAATCTGGTTGGGGAAAACCGCATTCTCCACAGCTGTAGAAGGCAGAGACTGTTCATTACCTCTGAATTTAGAAAATCGGTCTTTTTTTCTGCAAGAGAAGGAATCTGAGGTGATGAGGAGCAGAATTACAGAAGGCTTTGAACTGTAGCCATCTGAGAGACCAGCTAGCATTTAAAGAACTTTGAAACTGATTTACAAATCAGAATGAGAATTGCCACGATCTTACGGTGTAAGCCAAAGCTCTTAAACTTCGGTGACTATCAGATAAAAACTAAGATTTGTGTGGACGCAATCTTACAATGTAATCACTTCTCATTTATTGTACTTTGTGATTGAAAGTATTTATGAGCTTTGTGTGTTTTATTACAACATGCAAATACCATTCCCTTCCCTCATCATATGGGCTTAAAATAGTTTGAACTTTAATTAGGTGAACACAATACTACAACATGAAATTATTAATTGAAAGTGCAGTATTAAGAAATTATTAAATAAGCCTGCATTGTCTTAGGGAAGTGGCTCATTCTGACCAAAATTAACTTCTTCACAAATTTGGTTCTTCATAAATTATTCATAAAAGTCAAGAAACAGGTTTGGATCTTATGTTGCTGGCGTATGTTACTCAGTTTGGATTTATTAAGTATTTTTGTGAAAATGTGAAGGCTGCAACCAGACTTCATAGTCTGCTGAATCCCACAGTAAACCTAATGAAAATTGATCTGAAACACTGTTGCTGAATATTAAAAATTCTTCAAATTTGAATCAATTCTTTAAAATGGCTAATTTTCTATTTTGGCCATCGTTTTAAAAATTTTCATGAGTCAGAACTATTTCTTGGTAGTACTAAAATTATACTTATCTCCCTTTTTCTGCAGTTTGTCTCTGATTTGATTTTCAAGGCCCTGTCTCTATTGTAAGTATTGGTCAGCAGTGACTTACTACTTTGCTTATTCTCTTTTGTATCCTCTACTGCCATTTGAACCACTGTACAAAAAGTAGCGTCAGATTCTCCATAGCCTCTTAGCACAATTTTTTTATCTGGAGGTGATGCTAACGTTAGTCGTACTTACTCTTTGCATTTCCTGCTTAATCCTGTTATGCTGTGATTGCTGCATCTTGATCTCGACGCCTTTGTAATGCTACTCTAAAACTGAAGTGGTAGTTTTGTAGTTTCACTTGAGCTTTTCTTTAGTATCTAAAAAAAAAAAAAATCAAACAAATGAAACATAGCAAATTTGGGACATGCGTTCTGGGAGAACATAAGCACAAAACAGCTGAAAAATGAGAGGTCTGTCTTGTTGCTGTCCATGTGTGTTTGTCACGATGCTAAAAGCTTGTGTGACAGTAGGTGTATGTATCTTCTACTTTTGGCTTTATTTGCATCTGTTTCCGCTAATATGCTTGTAAATACTTCTTTCTGCTTTCGGTAGGGAGGGAATCATCCCCCAGCTCTGCCTGTCAGCCTAGAGAAATTGCTAGTTTAAAGTCAGAGTTTACTAACGCTGCGTATTCTTAGCTATGCAAAGCTGCTTGTGTCTAGAAAACTTTCACTTCCAAAGGATATGAAATCTTAAAAAAAAAATACGCAGCTGTAAATTAAACAGCTGTAAAACAAGCCTTGTGAGACCTCATTTAGTTTTGAACAATTCAATCAGTGTCTGTAATTAATACTCCTTACAAATTTTTATTCCAAGGCGCACACGCAGTCATTTTTTCTGTTGAAAACAAAAGTTTGAATTTCCCTGTTAGTCATAGGTACCCTCACTGTGTAGAGGCAACAGAACAAAGAAAGATGACTGCCTTCCGCTGCTTTAAATCCTTATCCCGCCAGCACATGCTCACATGCTTAGATCTGGATTGATTTTTTTTGTTGTGAGGCTGGGTAGAGATACAAGTGTTGGCAGGATTGGGATCTTAGGGTGTTAGGGGTTTTTTTTAATAGCCTTTCAAATACAGGGTAGGTCAGTAGGACTAATACATACTGGATCAACATAGGGTGCTCAACTTGCAGAATATGTTCCTGAAATGACAACTCAGAGGTGAACCAAATGTACTTGCTTTTATCATTAAGGTTGTACAGCTTCCTTTGCTTTATTTCTGACATGTTGGTTTTTTAAATGTGATCTTAATGTACAATTTACTGTTCAAATACGTTCACACCAAAATGTTGTTAACATTCTGGGCCTTGCAAGCTTTTTCACTCATGTTTGGTTTAAGGTGCTGCTATGCCTGTGTTCCCACTGCAAAGACTTCCATTAATAACTTTATATGAACACTATGAGGATAGGGTTGTTCAACAGTAGCAAGCTTCAGTGCATGGTGCAAACATGCATCTTCTGTTTCTTTTGTTGTTTTTTTAACAGTTGATGTGAATTTATTTAAATGTGTGCTAGAAGGATTTGCTGCTTAGAGCACAACTGAGTTTTCTTGTTTAAAATGCCATTGCTGTGCAATGAACAGAATCGAGGAACTACGTCGTTCAGCTCTGCGTTGCCTTGCAGTCAGGTTGAGGGTCTGTTTGTATTTGTGTGTGTGACTCTTCCACTTCACCGAAAATGTAATCGGACGGCCTGAAACAGTGGAAACTCCTGAAGGAACCGCTGAGTTAAATAACAGAAGTCCTTTCCTTCTGATTCTTTTTCATATGCTGGCTTTACCGCAGTATATTCAACATAACTAGCAATGGAATATAATAGATGACTTGTGATGATGTAAACTGTACGTGTGATGACAACTAATGCTTTACATGCATGCTTCAAGCACTTGCATGCAGAGCTAGATTGACAGTACTTCCATCTACAGATATTTGCAAGTGCATCTGTGATAAAGCTAGGTATGAAAGATAGCCATATTTTTTTCAGGTTACAGAATTCAACACCTGATTATGATCTAATTTAAACTTGTAATTATTTGGAATGGATGAGTATTAAATCCCATGGGTGAGTCTTTCCCAAAGCATGTGTGAGTTAATCTCAATAAGGGTGAGAAACGTCCTTAAAATACTTTTCTTCTCATCACTGGTGGGATTTTTGATCTAGTAGACAAATTTTCAAAGGATGTCCATGTTTAATTGCTATTTAAGCCAGTAAACTTGCAATGAGCAGACAAGAGCAAGCATTCATTTCTTAGCCTATTTTACAAGTGACAATCCCAAAGAAGGAATGTTGTCCTAGTAATTGTGAAACTTTTAAGTATATTAATGCATGCAGAGAAAAACTTGTGCCAAAAGACTGTTTCATACTTCCCTCTGTTGGAAACTGAAGTGTTAAACAAAGCTACCAGTAAGTTATTCACAAATATTGAGACGTTTTGTTCACAAATGAAGCACTTATTCAGTCCTGTAAATTATACATATTTTGGAATAAAGTTAACTTCAATCAATTTTTGCCTTCTGTTTTAATGGCTCTGATCTCCTGCCTGCAGAGGCACGGGTGGGGTAGTCGGTGCCTGTTGGCGAGTACTACCCATTGCTCCTTAACATCTTACCTTTTGAAAGGTAGGTGTCTTTCAAATTGGTAGAGATTTTGTAAATTAGAACTGTCGTACAATGTCAGTCCTTGATCTCCAGAGGCGGCAAAAGTTTTTCTGTGTAGTCCTGCTTCTCAGTGAATCCTAGGAAGTTTAAACTCGCAACATAAACTTAATCAGAATGTCAAGATGCTACATGTTGTAAACCTGAAGCAAATCCATTCAAGAAGTTCTCTGCTGTAAGTGAGCCTATGCATAGACTTTGGTGCGGAATCTGTCATTACATAAGTGAGAAAATAATGTTGCTGCTATTAATATTTAAATAAAACAAAAGCTAGAGTAGGTTGATGTCAAGTATGGACTATACTTTGTCCCTTTTCTTCCTGTACAGTTCCCATGCTTAGTTGTGATCCCACCATTTTCTGTTAGTTGGAAGATATAAAAATGCTGATTTCTACTGTTACCTGTATATCTCGTATATATAATTCAGAGTAGGTGAACAAGCAGGGGCTCCTTGCCCAAATGTTCATCTGTATGGCTACACCAGCTGCAGCCACGAATGAAGCATTCCCTGGTGTGTAGCAGCTGCTGTTTGCAGTCCCGTCATACTCTGAGGTAGGTATTTGCACAAGGCAGCGTGCAGCCCTGGTGGCAGCAAAATTGGGAGGGCATTTCCAGAGGGGAGTATCTCCTAAGTAGCTAGAGGCTAAATTCCTGTTCAGAGCATTTAAAATTATGGGAGTCTCAAATGTATAAGATGCTTTC